TTGAAAAGAAAATCACTGAACGGATAGGTTTCAAATTTTACAGACTTATGCAATCAAATGAGCTCTATCTTTTCTATTTTAATACCAAAATAGGTTTGTATTGAAGAAAGTGATCAAATTGCGACTTCGGTATCGGAGCAGTTTTGGGTGCTCGCTTTTGCGCATTTGAAAATCCACACAAAAAAACTACTTTCAAGAATTTCTCAAAAGCCATTTTGCAGAGAGACAATTAACCTTTTGAATAATCTAAATAGAAATTTTGTTGGTGGCGGCATTATTTTTAAAAGGCGTTAAGATCCGGACCGGCTCTGCTACTCACCCCCATTTCGTAGACTCGTGTCCCGTGTACGGCAAATGATGGATTTTCCGGAGTCAACTCAATCACTCGTACAGTTACACAGATCGTAAACAAGTAAAAAGTCAAAATCCACAAGATGATCGATTTAAAACGTTGACGCATTTTCAAGCTGAACGAACAAAACACTTGGCACTTTCTCAAAGATTGTAATCTGTAGGGAAAACGCCCGCTAACACCACTGCTTAGCGAAGAGTGGGGCAAGTTTTAAAGGGGAAATTTCTGCAGGACAAAGAATAGATTTTGTTTTTAGTACTCTAATCAAAAGAGTCATCAAAGATCAAAAAACTGAATGAGGGAGGCGCTGAAACAGCCTGAAAACATGGGATTTAACGCCACGAAAAGATCACATGAATTTTGCTAGTCACCTGTTGACTGTGTTATGAATCGATCTGATAGACTGAGCTTTTGACTTTGTACCAAAACTTTCCGAAATAATTGCCGAGAGAAAACTCGAGTCATTTGGTTGACAAATGCAAAATTGATGATCAAATACAAATTTTTCGATTCAATGGAACATTCTTGAATTGCGTTTAACTTTTGCTTTCAAACATTAAAACAACAAATCTTTATCCCATTCTTTCTGCACAATTCTAATTTTGAAAGAGATGAATTGAATCTCTAAAAAGTTTGATTGATTAATAATTTACAAAAGTATTACATTGAAGTCCTTGACAGTTGCTGTGCTTCCGGTGCTGACCACTGAGAAGACTGGTTGGGCGGGCAGGCTAGCTGCTGGAAACGACTGCATAGATATGAAATTTTAGCTTCTATGAATTGAAATTAGGTCATTTGGTCATTCGAGTCATTTGGTTGACAAATGCAAAATTGATGATCAAATACAAATTTTTCGATTCAATGGAACATTCTTGAATTGTGTTTAACTTTTGTTTTCAAATATTAAAACAACAAATCTTTATCCCATTCCTTCTGTAAAAGAATGGGATAAAGAAAAATGTGAAAAATATATAAAAGTAAACTACGTTAGATTTGGTGAACTTTATTTTGCAAGATATCTACTGTATAAAAGAGCAATGTCCGTCTGTCTGTTTGTCTGTCTGTACCTGCATTTTCTCGGCCATGTTTTGACCAATAAAACTAAAATTTCTTTAAAAAACTTAGAAGATATTGTAGTTGTGCCATTTAAAAGAAAAAATTTAAAAAATCAAAGCTAGGAATCGAAGCCGGACCTGTGGCCATTCGGCATATCATTGCACAAGCCGCCAAATTCAAATTTATATAATGGGATGCCAACATTTGAAGGAATGAAGACAAAGAACTGATGAAGATTCGCTTAACTCTTTTCTACTGCAAAAAAAAGCACTAAAAGGAGTCTCAAAGAGATGTTTAACGACTGTGATACTTTGCATTTCAAGTTTTCGAGGCTACCTCCTAAAATTGCAGTTTAGACAAATAAAAAGAGTTATCAAAGCTATTTGTTTTTTTATTGAAATAAACATGAATAGAACTAATGAAAGAAGCAAAAGATTGACATTCTAATTGATATGCTATCTTTTCTGTTCACATTTGTGTTGTTGCTACAATGGCTGAGCCGCCGTTGCTCGTTTTTTTGGTGCTTCCCGCTTGAGCCTGCGTTGAGGAAACGAGAGAGATATTTGAGGGCTTTTGTTTCGTCTTTCTACTCACAAACCACAGCATAAAAGTGGTAGTGAGCCTGAAAAATGTAGAGTGTTGAAAAATTCCAGAAAAAAAGAGTAGTGTCTGATTCAGGGAACACTTTTTCTAGGGTTGTTCTTAGAGCCTTTTTTTCTAAGCTAAACGAAGCTAATCAAAAACCAGGAATTGCCAGCCTGTACAAAATTTCAAGGTCAAGCCAATTCAACAGAAAAAAAACTGGTTTTGGCTTGACTGGGTCTGTTTTGGTTTTTTGGATTAACCCTGGAAATGGGTCATTGATCAGAGTTGAACATGTTAAGGACCCAGCAGTTAATGATAATTAGTAAACCAGAAGCCAGATGATTCAACTATCAGTTATGGGATAGGCTCAGAACCAAAGGATGTCCACACTTTTTGAAAACCTTTGTCATGTTTGATGGGAGGCAAACCCGAGCGCGATCTAGTGCCCGGGTCCGGTGTAACAATTGGATCAGGACTGCTTTGATTTCAATCCAATACAACCTTTGT